TTTTTCTTCATCTTATCCTCTGAACCACAAAATGCTCCAACGTTCTGACCAGCAGCCACATGACAAAAACTCTTAAGTACAGAAACAAATTAAGTGCATGCTGTAAAGGTCAGTTTCAGTTTTATTCAATTAACTTAGAAATAAATAATCAAGAAATATCATTAAAAAAATTTTCAATGTTTTCTTGTCATGGTTATACTATTTCCTTTGCTTTATATGACTTTATATTGTCATGAAAAGTGAGCTCATAGCAAAAAAACACCCAGAAATTACTGGGGTGCTTCGTGCAAAAGGGTGAAAATTAAAAATAAAATTAAAAAATTAATAATGTAGTTACAAGTTTTCATTATATCATGTCACTTTTCTGTTGCGATTGAGAGAAAAAAAATCTAGTTTTTAACATTAAAAAAGAAAAAGAAAAACAACCTGCTGTTGAACAAACTGTCTCTGTCGGTGCAATTACCGCCTTAATTTAAGATGCAAGAGTAATCAGTGTATGTATTTGTGTTTTAGGAAGGCAGAAAATGAATCAATAGTGAGATTAATAATAGGAAATGCTTCTGTTTTATTAAGGAAACATAGCAAATATCTGACCCGTTCGAACACAAAAACAGACAATCGTTTAACTCCAAAACTGGCCTCACAATAATCACAATATCAAAGTCAGGCCGTGACAGTCGTCGGCTCATCCACGGGTACATCGCACACAGGAAATGCTAATCGCTACTTCTGCAACTGTGAATGAGAAGGATTACGCAGCGCCAGCAAACATCACTGAATCATTCAGAGAGTTCACATCGTTCTGTACTTGTGCGATGAATATTGTTAACACATCGAACAACTGGCTATCAGGATGAGAAAAAAAAAAAAAGAGGACAAATGTGACAGTTTCACAGCAGCGAGCTCTCTGCTGTGTTTCCCAGAACTTCTCGTCTGTCAGCCCGAGTTGATTCTCCTCCCTCCTCCCTCCTCAGCCATCTTGGCTTTTCATAGCTGAGGGGATTATGATGCCGACAACTTACCGTCTTAGAGCTCACACCCTGCACCTACACAATCTACACAACAAACCCCCCAGAAAAACCCTCACACACCCAGAACTGGCAGCAACCGTCCTGTTAACATGAGATAAATATAGAAAAATAAAACCCATCTTTGAGCCTTGTTCACCATCAAATCCATCCATCAAGCAGGCCGAAGCCAAAACACGACATTTCTGCTTAATGACTGCTTTTTTGGCGGTCAGAAATATCTCGCATGACATCAACGCCAAACAATCGCTCCTATTCTCCCGTCCACATGTTGCGGAGCAGAGCTCCCTCTCCTCTGTGAGCGGCCAAGCTAATCATCTGGCTGAGCGCAGCCACTTACATCTGACTCCAGGGGCCCCATGAGTCATGGGAAAAGTGAGTGTGAAATGTCATGAGAAGAAGTAGTATACCATCTGGCAGCAGGCCAGGCCTCTATGTTTCCTGCTTTTTTGGTTGTTTAGGCGGGAGATGGAAATATCTCAGTGTAAAAGGATTTAAAAGTTTATAGAATTTACAGGAGTATGGTTCTCGTGATTTGTTATTTATTCCATGAGTTGAGCTCTTTGCGTCAGTGTGAAACAACTTTACAGCCATTGGATGAATTTTGCACAAATTTCTTACTTAAAAATTTTAAAAAAAAAGGTCCAATATGTTGGTTTATATCCTAAAAACTAACCACATTTCTCCTGACAGCATGCTTAACTACAAAACCCACAAGGAAAAAGATAAAAACTCAACATTTCCAATTATTTAGCACTTTTAACACTTTCACTGTTATGCTTTTATTTTGAAATCAAACCACAATGTACTGATAAACTTCAGCTTTTCATTGTTAACCCTGAAATAATATTTTTTATACTTAAATAATTTCACTTCCTTTACTTTTAGCCTCTTATCTCAGTCATTTTAAAGGCAAGTCAGATTATTTTTTTTATTTTTATTTTTTTTTAAGAACAGTCTCAGCAATGCAGACCATCCACAGTTTAATATGATGATTATTGCAGATTTGCTATGTGAGCCTTTACGTGCACATTTTTGCATTTCATAAAATACAAATTGCTATATTTTTACATGCATCTCCCTGTAAAGGGGTTGCAAGGTAGCAGCTAGAAGGTCGCCGGTGAGGAAACCCGGGATCTTTCTGCGTGGAGTTTGCATGTTCTCTCTGTGCAGCGTGGGTTCTCTCCGGGTTCTCCAGCTTCCTGTCTCTATAGCGTAGCCCTGTGATAGACTGGTTACCTGTCCAGGGTGTCCCCTGCCTTCAGTCAGCTGGGATAGACTCCAGCCCCCCATGACCCTAGTGAGGATTAAGCGGTGTATAGATGATGGATGGATGGATGGATGGATGGATGGATCTCCTTGTAAAACACTGGCAGCTGAGACATATTTCCAGAACGGTGTACGGTAGATTATCTAGAATCCTGGAATATTTAAAACATAACGATGGGACACTGTATGACTTATAATTAAAAAACAAAAACCGATCACTGCCTAACAGTAATAAATGTGCTCACACACAGGGGCCTGTATTCTGCAGGAGCATCAAACCATCATCTTGTCATCTTTAAAAGCCCTTAAATGTATTTTACAGGCTAACAGTTGCTAATCAGTAAAAACTCTGATGATCCAGCGGATGCCATGTTTCATTAACGTCCTCTGGGTTGACTTACGACTCACTTGATGTGTCACACTGAAGGCAAATGAGTTTTTACTCCCATGCGACACCTCCCAGGTTCTGCACTGAACTAAGATGGGTAAAAAAAAAAAAGAGAAGCATCGCACCTGGTCTACATCAGCATCTCTGCATGCTGACATCAGCATTTAGCTCAGAGCCCCACTGCGCCTAAGTGCATCCTCACTCTGAGTGTTGGCTCACCTGAGTTGAAGAGCTGTCTTCGCTGATCAACGAAACCGACGAGTGGTGAGTGTGTTCAGAACTGTGGGGGGAAAAAAAAAGAAGAGAAGAAGCATGTTAGGATGTCACTCGCTAACACATCATAAGAAAACGATACGTCACCGGGTCGGAGAAAAGCCTAAGCCCGTTTAATACAGCAGCATCTTTCTGCTGAATCCTGCCTAGCCAGTCCAAACGAGGGGGCTTTTTATTTTCTTACATGACAGTTTTCATCCTGGCCTTCTGTTGGACAGCGCCGTGCATGAGGCGTGCATGCACACAGCAGCTTAGCTCCGTCACCTGGAGTCTGCCAGCAACATTAATCCAAACCTCAGTCTCTCTCTTTTAAGCTGCCGCTGATGGGCTGCGTGCAGCGACAAGGTCAACCTAATCTATTCACAGTGTGCGTGCAACACGTTCATATCGTTGTGTTGCTGCATTGTAGTTGTGGGGCTCAATGCATTTCCATTAGAATGAATGGTTTTATTCTCAAATAATTATGCACATTATTCAATTTGCCTCAAAAACGGCCTCTTAATCCGTCATCTTTGACCAGATTTTGTTGCGTACAGGAAGTTAAGACATCATAAGTGTTGGAAACTGCACTTTAAAAAGGCTAATTTTTGTGCATGATCTGGTGATCCATTCGGAAAAGTTGTGTGTTCTGGTGTTGATGCAAACGTGCAGAGCGTTAGATGAGATTTTTGATGCATGTCAGTGCTATGAATATGTGGCAAGTTAGCCTAGCTTAGCATAAAGGCTAGAAAGAGGAGGGAAAAGGGAAAAAAAGTAAATCAGTTGCATCGTTTACAACAATCAATTTAAATGAAATTAATATGTAGCTGGGTTAGCAGTAGGTTAGCCTAGCTTAGCATAAAAACTAGAAAGAGGAGGGAAAAGAAAAAATTGTAAATCAGTTGCATCGTTTACAACAGCAAATTTCTTTTTGATTAACCCTTATGACCATTTTTGCATACTTTTGTCTTGACATACCACATAGAAAGAAGTTTACTGTGCTCATGCTTGCTATCTTTTGTTCCAGCACATCACCACCTGTATGATCTGACCATCATTTTTTCCACTTTTACCACTTACATTAACACTTTGGGCTCAAAAACACACAACAAATACAAAATCCGATGAGAAAAAATGCAATATTTATAACAATAAAAACCACCAACATGCTGAACGAAGCATTTTGAAAGTTGGAAATGTAACCGTAGGTTGCAGATATGAATATAAAAGGGTAAATTTGATATAAAATCCAACTAAATATTTGCAATTATATACAAAGCAGGTGTGGCCTTTTTTTTAATGCATGTTCATAACATCATATCTCCGGTTTTATGTGGTCTATCGACATGAAACAAAAACTGGGAGAGAGTTTAAAGACTTCACTTTTGAGAGGAAGCCGTACATGCACTAGTTTTTCTGTTGTGACGTCTAAAAAAATGGCATGATTACATCACGCCAGTGTGACGGCAGACCTCTAAGGGTTAAAGGACGTATCTAGTCTGATTTACCAAATGTAGACTTCTGGTATAAGCTTGTGTATTTCAAACTTTTTGGTATAAGCCTGCTACAGTTTTAAGAATCCTCTTTGTTACCGGAAACCTGGAAGATGGCAAGTTTGACAACCACATAACCAAGACGAGTGTCCTTCATTGTCGTGTCACCATGATGTGGACTGAGCACCACCCAAGACAACTGATTGATTTATATCACAGTCAGACCGTTTTCCAGCCCAGAGCAGATACATTTGTTCATGCGGGACTAGAGCTGGGATTTGTGATGTGACTTAATCACAAATGAATAATTCAAATTCAAAGCATGCAAGGGCAGGTAGGGAAATGAAATAACATTAAACCACACAGTCGTGAACCAGAACTGTCCTTTAACAGAAAACTGTTTGTCTTCCCGCCTGTGTGTGAGTTCTGCCTCCCTCCCGGCCCGTCCTCCTCTCCTCTCTAATAAATCAACCTCTTTCCTGTTTGGGGAATCTCTCCTCTGCTCTCCTTGTGTCGATCCTCTATCTCGTTCTGTCCAAATGCCTGTTTTGGCGCCAGAACCCTCCTCCTCCTCCTCCTCCTAACGGTCCTTTCACACTGCTTTAATGTTAACAGGATGCTCTGTGTTCTACCTCCTTACAGTCCCAAAGCAGAGCAAACGTGCAAATCTGTCTTTCTTCATGGCTGTGCTTAAGCTTCAACTCATCCCCTGGCTCAGCCCCCGACGGACCAATCCAAGAATTTGGCAAATCTTAAAAACAGCTCACGAGCGGAGCCCGTCTAGAGGACGCTACCGCTTGTGTGATCACTTGTTTGTTAAAAATAATCGCTTTGATATCTTTTTTCGGATTATTATTATCCCTGCAGTTGCCTTGGAAACTGTCCTCCCAACCTCTGCTTCTGCTATTTAGTGCGTCTCACGCTGTCTGCAGACCCACTCATTAACTGTTGTCTGCTTAAAGTTTGGAGCCATTAAAACTTACTTATCTGCTTCCTTGCTAAAGAGTTAGACGGCTGGATGTCATATCTTCTGTTAAATATAGCAACAGCTGGTTAGCTTAGCAAAATGACTGGAAAAAGGCTCACCAGAATCTCAGGAATATGTTTTTCGGCTTTGTTTGTATTTCTTAAAACCAGCGGTCCCCAACCACCGGGCCGCGGACCGGTACCGGGCCGTGGGTCATTTGGTACCGGGCCGCACAGATAGAATAAAAACATTTTGTTGGTTTATTTTTATTTCCAGCGGAGTCTGCAGGGTGTTTTATTTTGAAAAATGACTAGCTCGTCTTCCCGTCAGTTTTTATGTCCGGCTGCTAAACGAAGCCGTCAGTCAACAACAAACGTCTCAGGAGAGCTGCTTTGGAAAGTGGGAGAGACTTAATACTGAGACAGAGAAAAAGTAAACATGTTAAGCAATAAAAATTAATTTTATTAATTTATGAAACTTTTCAATAGAAAAAAAAACAATTATTATTTGTTATGTGCGTAACGACCGGTCCGTAGAAAAATTTCTTGCTTCAAACCGGTCCGTGGTGCAAAAAAGGTTGAAGACCGCTGCTTTAAACCAATCACAATCGTATTGGGCGGAGCTAAAGGAAGGCAACTTTACCGTACGATCAAAATCCTTGGTCGCTAGCCTCGAGGTTTTTGTTGTTTCTTGTAGTGATGGATTTTGAAAATGGGGGCTGGAGAAAGTTAATGGCGGGTTTATACCTTCAGTTAATATCCAGTAAGTCAGACGATATCTGGTGAGATTAATCGCATCAGAAATGTGAGAAATAAACAGTTCTTATTTAACGTATTCCAGGATTCGTGATATTCCCTGTGCACTTGCGAATGTTTTTCCTTTAATTCGTTGTCCGTCTGCACAAAACTAAGCGAATTTACGTCTGGAATAAAAAATGAAGATGCAGAGAGGAATGTCACAAAGGAAACGTGTCTCGTGTGAGGAAGTTTAGCCAGAAAAAGAATAGAAAGACACAGAGGGAGGCGAAGCTACAACCTGATCCAAAAATATCAGGAGCGTGACAGGAATAGAAGCCACATGTTTACAGCAGGAACAGTAAATGATCGTTTTCTCTCTCACACAGCAGCTGGCCTGTTGCGAAACCCAACGCCATCGATTCCACTCAAACGCGTGTTTCCAATCAGCTCATGATAAATTCACTAATATGTGGAACTTGTGATCTCTGAAGGGTGAAACCAGCGAACAAATTGCTGCATGTTGAGAGTAATTGAGGGAAAAATGCATGCATCAAAGCATTTTGGGGTCTTTTTGAATCCTCTTTTTGTCTTCTGCAAACCACAGCTGATTTAAGCCTGAAGTCGTATCTTAAGTGCAATCTTATTAATTTGAGCTTTTACAGGATGTAACGCTGATAATTTGGCATCTCTGCAATCTTATCCGAGATAACCAGCAGCATCTCGTCGGTCAGTTTAATGGAGGACACGACAAACAAGCGATTCCTCTTGAGACTCCAGAAAGGTGGAAAACAGTCGACGAGGCGCTTTCTGTCCGATTTGACCTCCTCCCGGGAGGAGGGAAGCCAAATGGGTCGCACAGAAGGCAAAGAGGGAGTGAAGGAGGAAGGAGGGACGGGAAGGAGGTCAGAGCCTGACCTAATCCACAGATTTGTCTTCTTCATCAGGGACGAGGCAAACAGGAAATGAATCCTAATCTCGGCGCTTTGCTAACAGGCCTGATAAAAGCAGCTGGAAATGAGCCAACAGAGGACACGCAAGGGAAGATATTTCGAGAATTATCTGGTTTGGTTGTACTGAGCGGGACTCTGTGCATTCTGGACTATTTGCTAATAATGTGTGTCGTTGCACAACCTGAACTGCTGAGTGTAGAAAACATGAAAATGACTCCAGAGGACATTGCACCCAACGGTACATTGGCAAGAAAAGGTCAACTCAGACATTTCCTCATCGGCATTAGCGCTTAAACCATAAGCGAGGACTCACAAACATGACAGGAAGTATGTTTTTGGATGAAATTATTCAATTTCTAGTCATACAAAAGAGTCAGTTTGTTTTATCCTTCAGTGTGACAAGGATGCTTCCTTATCTTAACCCAGTGTGTCTAAACTTAACCATACATGAACTATAGTTTATTTTCTCTAACAGCGATCTTTCCCCGTCTTAATTACACCCTACTGTTGGAGCTTTGAGCTGAATGTGAAAAATGTTCACTGTCTGTATCTCAGACATGGAGGAAACCCCTAAAAGCTCATCTGTGTGTTTCAAAATTACATATTTATGACATTTTTTTAAGCAAGAAAATTATCCCGTCTGGCCTTAAAATGGCGTAAATGCAACTATACCACTGCTTCCTCTAGAACAAGGGTGTCCAATCCTGGTCCTCGAGGGCAACAGTCCTGCATGTTTTAGATGTTTCCCTCTGATTCTAATGATCAGGATCGTCATCAGGCTTCTTGATGATGAGTTGATCATTTGAATCAGGTGTGTTGGAAGAGGGGAACATCTAAAACATGCTGGATAGGGGCTCTCGAGGACCAGGATTGGGCACCCC